GAAAATTAGAGTGATTCAATAGTAAAATCAAGCAATGTATTTAAATGTAGAAGTGAAAGTAGTGTCTTCCTTGCTCCGTTCCTCAGAAGTCTTGAAGGATTTGCCTGCACACCCTGCCCTGTGTAGATACATCCAGGCCAGCTTAAGCTCTTCTAGCAGGACAGTTACCTTAATATTTAGCTTATGCTCGTCTTCATTTGCAAGAAATTAAGCGATATTCAGTCAAAGAAAGGTAGAACTGTTACCGAAGATCCAGATCCAAACATAAACTTCGGCATCCCAAAAAGCATGTAAATTGTCATTCTCAGTTAAATCACAGGTCCATCTAACCCAGTACTTTGTCACCAACTGTGGTCACAAGCAGATGGCTGGGAAGAAGTAGAAGAAAGGTACTATGCCTCCCTCCACATGTCTATGAAGCACAGTATCCTCTTCTGCCTTCCCACAACTCAAGATTTTATTCCTCCTCAGCCACATGTGGTGTTTACATATTTGTCATCCTTAAACAGTTTCCACCTTATGGAAATTATGTTCTGATTTTTACTGATTAAAAATGCTTTCATCCGTACTCATTTCTAGATAAGTACATCTATTCAATAGTAAGCAGATAGATTTCCCATATTTCTTCTCTTACTCAAAGGAGCTCAATGCCAACCACAGTATTTATTAAACCACAGCATTTATTAAACCATGCCAACCCTTTGAGGCTTTTGCATTCTGCTCTTTAAGTGACCTTTATCTCTCTTCATCATAGGAGAGTGATTTAATGCAATGAGTACAAAAACCAGGTTCTTGGACCTTTCATATCAGTCTGTGCCACATAAGATCCAAAAAGGGAGACACTTCAAAATAATTACTGCCGCTTAAATTAGTATTTTCTTTCATTTTCAGCAAATACAATCATCTACTCCAGACTTCAGAACATTAATTTCTCCAGTTTCTCCAATTTCCAATAAGAAGAATCCCCATCAAGCTTAAAGATGAGTACAGAAAACTACAAGAAAAAGACTGTAATTATACTCACTCCCATGTCAATAATGAGAACTTCTAAGGACAGAGGGATACCAAGAGAGAACAGGAGGAACAGCCACAACTTGTGAATGGTGCCTTAAAGCAGCAGTTTGGAGTGTAATACAAATATTATTTATTAATTACTCTGCCTGTGAAGCTTTGCTTCTGTCCCCATAATACCTTTAAACTAGCAACTAAATCACCATCACAAGGTATTTCTTTAACTTGGCAATTGCCAGTTTTACTACATGCTACTCATTTCAATGACATGTAAAGGCATATGCTGCTTAGCCTTAAGATGCTAAGGCATACGTGCCTACATAAATGATTAGCATTACAATTCTGACATTTTATGCTAGACATAGTGAGAACACTACAGTGGCATTATTTATAAAGGAAATTTGGACATTTTTAATGGAATTCATGGGGCCTGTTTATATATACATTAGAGAATAAAGTTTTACAAAGGGAAGAAAAAAAATAGTAAGTTGAAACTTCCAGTCCGCGTCAAAAATGAAATTGTTTTCATGCAGATGTTGCCTGCTGGGAGTTTTAATTAAGTGCCTTAGGGGGTATCCACAGCAGATATACTGCTCTTCCCAGCCAGATTGCCCCCAACATTTCCATACTTAACAAGTTTATGACCTCTATGAAGTGTGGGATTTTATTCCTGTTGGAAATGTCCACACACATAAGGGAGTAAAAATCAAAATTACAATTTATCAACACACTGTAGCTGAATAGCCAAATATTTTAGCTGACAACAAGCAGTTCATGGAATATTTTCATTTTTCTGGAGAGAGTTTGAAATTTTTTTTAGAAAGCAAGTACTTTTCATACACACAAAAAAAAAAAGTAATAGTCAAAAATAATTAAAGTCAAATAGAATTAGATAAATATATTCAGGTCACATGCACAGAAGTTTTCCCTATCCCAGAGAGCATCCATGGATTTTATAACAATATCTGTGGGCTAGGGGCAGGGAAATCACTCCTCTGGTTGTCAGATCTCTGGAAGAAGGGAGGCAGGGGGGAAATGGACACCACTGAAGTCCTACTTAAAACTTCAGTATCAGTTTTGGGTGTGTAGCAGTCCTTTCTGGCTTGGCAAATATTACTCCCAGTGAAGTTACAGTCAATAACCGTATACAGGTATCTGCACGTTTATCTTCTCTCATAGCGAAAGCATCATCACTCTTCTTTCCCCCACTGTTCTGTGACCTCATTGTACAGTTTAGTAATCAGGTGGCATAGACAATTGCTCTAACTACTTCAGAATCCTACATTCAGAATTGTCAGAAACAGAATTTTGACTAGTTCCATATGCCACTGCCAATACTTCAACTGACTCTAGACATAATGTCAGCTTTTATTCAGCATCTACGCAATACAAAAGTGACAGCTGAAATACATGAATCTCACCATAAAAACAATTTCATCTTCGTTTGAGAATTCATTTCAGGGAAAATTTTGAGTCTAGTTCTAAAACACTTTTATGCAAACATAGGTGCCTTATCAAAGAATAACAGTTTCCAGATACAACTTTACTATCCTTCTCTTTTCACCCCTTCGGTGTAACCAGTAGTCTCCAGCAGGCTGTCTCATTTTTCCAGCCCTTGTTTTTTTTTTAGAGAAAGCCTGTAAGAAGACAGGCAAGAAATCTGCTTGGAGTATTCTCAATAAATACTTAATGTGTTTCATCTCACATCCAGTGTGCTCTGGTCACAGGAGTTAATAAAGGAAGTTTGCAAAAGGAAGTTAAGCATGGTGAAGGGTGGCACAGCCTTGGCAGCCTTAGTAGTTCCCCCTGTGGTTGCCTGAGGATGATATAAATACGTTGAAAGTGCCCTTATTTCCAAATGTACTTTGACTTTGCATCAAATAGCAACACTACTTAAAATAATAGCATGACTGTTTTTCAAATAGATGCTTTTCATATTAACATAGAACTAGAGTGAAGCACAGCACACATCTCTAAATAAATTGTACTTCATATTAAACAACAGTTGTTAGCTTGCTTAACAGCCCTTTGCCATTAAGTACATTGATTACTACTTTCCAGGCACAGGACATGGTAATATTTTCATCCTTGTTTATCTTAACCCACATTGCTTGTAGATCCTGAAAAGCATAGAGTGAACAGGATGATCTAGAGGTTCTGTAGCCTTATGTTTCTCTGAATAGCTTTAAACTATTCTATCACATTATTTTCTAAATTCTGACATTCCCAACACCTATTTTTCTTCTTTTCTTACAAATGTGAATAGAAAGAAAATAAACCAATTGCCAAATACTGTAGATACTCAGGTGCTTTTACTACTTTAGTAGAGTTCTGGAAAAACATAGCTGTGCTTAGAAGGCCTGTCTTCCCTCTGCACACAAGCAACGTTCACTAAAGGCAACATTTAAGACAGACTATGGGAACGTGGAAACTTCTGTCAGCAGTGAAGAAAGTCTATTAACTGCCTTTGGTTTTACACTGATAGATTCTGTAGATGTCAGTGTAGATGGGTAGGATTATACTTGTGCTCATTTGCATGGTACAGAAATCAGATCTTAACTTAGATTTACAAAAAGAGTGAATAAAGCAGCTTATGCTGCTTACCACCCAGGGATAGTATCAGCAACACTATGTATCAAAAGATATTGCCTTGTCAACACAAACTAAGTCTTCATTCCCAATTACTGGGTAAACAAACCATATTGTCAGTGCTCACCAGAATTGCCATTGCAGTTTCATAGAAGCAGGGAGGAATTATGGAATTCCACATACACAGGCAAAAATGTAATCTGTCAGCATCAACCCCTCTCACAAAAGAGCTCTCCTGAACATCTCTGCAGATGAGAGTCTCAAAAAAGTCTTGTAGAGGTGCTAGACAACTACCAATATCACACAACATAATGCTGTAATGCCATGGAAAGTGCAGCAATGACAGCAGAGTAGCAAAGCCCTAGGCTGCAGCAAGTGAGGATATGCTCAAATGCAGCAGCAGCCATAGACACAGAAATAAAGGAAAAAAAAAAGACTGCTTAGACCTGGAAGGCCTCACATATGCAGGGATCTCCAGCAAAATACTGTTGCCTCTACTGTCAACTCATTTAAGGGTTGGGAAGGGGTAGATTCTGGCTCCACCCCTTCTGATCACTCCAGCATATTGCATGCACCTGAGCTTCACTAGATTGGCCCTGCCTTGCCACCAGGAGCTCAATCACTGCTTCAAACTATGACTTAGTATTTCTGCCACACATAATGAGTTTATAAAAGAGATATTTTTCTCTGAAGCTCAATTTCCATTCAATGTTATTCGTAAGTTCACCTAGACGTGCTTATTTAAAAAAAAAAAAAAAAAAAAAGCATTACCCACTTCCCTGTATTCAACAGCCTAAAATAGCACCAGGAGTCTACTTCAAGAGGTTCTTCATCTGTTTGACAGCCCTTAAAGAGTTACTCAACTGCCCAAAGATGACTATAGTAGCAAGTAAGGACCAAAATATGCAGATAACTGACAACATATGATGAAAAAAAAACAGTGCAAGTAACTCTGAATCACTACACATCAAAATGGACATGACTCACAACCATAAAATGACACAATTCCACTTCCCCACAGCATATCTCAACATCTAACCTCAAAGAAAAGAAAGTAGTTAAATACAAATCCAAAAAAAGAGAAAACAGGTTTTGTCCACTTTTTGTGAGCTTGTACTTTCCTCTGAAGTATAAACTCCTGTTTCTCTGCTCGTATCACTTCCTGCCACCCTTCTTCCATTACGCAAACTGAAGCAAGCTACACCTTGCCTATAGAGACTTTCTTTTTCTTACTTGTGCCTTCTCTGTATAGGAAAAAAGTGTACCTATTCTAAAGAACAGCTTTATGCCCAGAATTTATATTACTTCAGCTATTAGCTAGCCATGGATGCTCTCATTAACACAACTCACCCTTGACAAATGCACATTTTCCTCATTATATTTTTGTGGGAATAGCATACCTCCACAAAAAGTTCTTCTCCAGCTTGATCCCATCTTACAGCAAGATCACATCTACCAGACACACTTCAAGGGAAACTATTATAGCAGTCTCACATGCGTACAACATAGGCCTAATATCAGGACACACCAAATGCAACCACACTGCTCTTCATCTATGTTATGGTCTTCTCCAGCAGCTGCTGCCATTTTATCTGACACAGCTGTAGCTGAAGGAAGCTTCACTAGGGCAGGCCCAGGCAGGGCAACTCCAGCAGTTAATCAGGAAAATTGTCTGCTGGTGTGACCTCTGAAAAGGGAGGAGGAAGGAGAGGGCATGTGAGGGTAGGACCAATAGAGAAGGAATCATTTGTAGATGACGAGGAGATGTAGAACATAAGTTTAAAACTTCAAATGGAGGTGGGGAGAAAGGAGGCCAAAGGTAGAAGAAGAGCAGGGAGGATGAGGAGACATCTCATAGGCCTTGAAAGTCTTACCAAACCATGTGTTTTCTGTCCACAGCTTCCTAAAACCCTTCAACACTCAGCCTTTCCTGAAATACTACTACTGCTCCACTGTTCCTCTGCATTATACCAGTACCTTACCTGCCCACCTGTAAGTCCTGAAATGCCTAGACTGCAATTCAGATTCCAAGATGGCTAAACAGGCTCTGGTTCATAGGATCCTGAAAAATATACAGCATTATTTCTGAATTCTGTGTAGTATTTCCTAGTTGAAACATTATCTCGAAATACTGCACCTAAGAAAAGAAGAAAAGAGATTAGCATGGTGGAGATTTTAGACACTTGAATCTGCTCTGATTAAACAAATGATCCAGTATAGACATAAAATTTACTGGAAGAAGAAATATCACTGGCTTTTACCTGTGGAACCTAATTTGAAGAAAGTAGAATGGAAACAATTACAGATCTTGAGAATGAAACACCTGCTGACAGAGTGGAGGAAAACAATGAAGAGATACTAGTTTAAAGATGCTGTCCTGAGTCTTGCATTCCAAGAATTGTGGAAAAAAAAAAAAAAAAAAAAAAAAAATCTGACTACTACAAGTATCAGGCAAAGTCTGTGCTCATAGATTCAGTTCTTTTTTGTGTGTGTTTGTTTGTTTGTTTGTATTTTAAGGCAGAAATCTCCCTTTTGAAGAAAGACTAAGAGACCTTGGGCTCTTCAGTCTGGAGAAGAGAAGCTCCCTGAGATCTCAGTGTGGGAGTCAATTCAACAATGGCAGACTCTTTTCAATGGCATGCAACAGTAGAAAAAAGGGGCAACCAACAGAAATTGGAACTCATGAAGTTCCCTATAAACATGAGGAAAAGTTTCTTTATTTTGATGGTGAAAGAGCAGTGAAACAAGCTGCCCAGACAGGTAGTGGAGTCTCTTTCTATGGAGATATGGAAGACCCATCTGGGTGCTTTCCTGCTCAACCTACTGTAGGATACCTGCTTTAGCAAGGGATTGGACTAGATGATCTCCAGAGGTCCTTTCCAACTCCTGAGATTCTGTGATTCTATATTTTGAATCATTATGAAATTTTATATCCCATCAGAAGTCAGTGGACGAGATTTTTTAAAAAAATCTATTCCTCAACAAAAATAGGCAAGTGTTTAAGGCATGTTAGCGTAGTTATACCCACATTAAGAAGTGCATCACTGCTTTGTCAAATAGCTCACATTATCTTAATGACTAGATTCTTACTGCATACACAGGCATCTCTACATATTCTATTTCAAATTCACTAAGGTAACTATGACTAATTTTATCATGTTTCGGTTATTTTTCTTCCTGATAACAAAAATGACTGTTAATTACAATATCTTATTAAATTACAATATCTTATTACCACCTAGTTCTCACATTTGGTTTATTGGAAAAAAATTAAAGAGACTGAATATTTCAACTGTTCTAGGTTAAATAATTTAATCACTTTGGATAATGGCTTAATTAACTAGATAAACAACATGGAAGAAATACATGCAATGCTTTCATTGTATGTCGTGTCCAAATTTTGTAGCAGCTTTCAACAAGTAACCCATTATTTTCTCCTTTGAGAGCAGTGTTGTGCTAGACTCTCACTCGTATGAAGTACATCACTGTAAGATAATGGAGAAGAGTAAGCTTTTTTTGCCCCCTGATGCAATTTGCCATCCCAGAAGTAACCTTTATTTTCTTTATGAACAGGAAACAAACATTTCCTGACCAAGAGAGTATAATTGCAGAGTTGAGAAACCACTCATGGCATTGTATAAATATAAGCACTATATAACACAAAATTTGTAAAAAAACCCTTCCTAGATGGATACAAAATGGATACCCGTTGATAATCCTACATCAAACAAAGGTGACTTTCTTCCCTTTTTAATGAATCCTGCCAGAGTGACCGTCCTCATTCCAAAGTCCTCTGTGTGAGATTCTGCCCTTGGAAACCACTGTTCTCTTCATTTTCATATGTGTTTTTTGTTGTTGTTGTTGTTGTTAAAATATACAATATGGCAGCAACCACAGACTGCATCATTTGGCCTGTGATAACTAAACTTGAAAATGAAATCATCGTACTGTTATCATCGGCACATTTGGTGAGAGCTTTGTCAGTTAAAGTGTTTTTATTTGCAAGGCAAACTGTCCATTGTTGTTTTTGTATTCTCGTGAGTACTCAGAAGCCATACTCCCTTGTATAACTCAAATGATGTTTCACCTAGAGGACACAGTCTTCTCCCCTCCATCAAAGTTCATGATGGAAACCTCTTGGAAAGTAATTCCTTTTTTGAAGTTGGTGAAGAAAACTAGACAGACGTGCTCCTAAGACTTACAGTTGCATTTCAGAAAACTGTTCTGACTGTGTAACAGTGAAGGAAGTGAAACAAATGATGAGGCAAGCCACAGAGGGTGAAGATCTACTCTATATTTTTAAGATTTTAAGAACAAGATAGGCTGGTAATGGGGTCAGTTAAGTTTCATGAGCACTCGTTCAGGTTTATGTTTATATGATTCAGGCACCTGATTCACTATTTTTGATTTAAAATCTTTGTGAATTTAAGCATGTTGAATAAAGACAGTTTGCCCTATGAGAACAGAATGGGAAAAGGAAAAAAACTGCCTATATTAAGGCTGCATCATCATCACCACTGTGCAAATAAACTTGGCTTTAAAATGTTATTCTTCTTTCAGTATGATTACTCATTTTATGAATAGAACAGAAATAATGTATGTGATTTATATACTTATATTTATATATTTATATTTCAGGATGCAGGAAAACAATAATTTCGCAACTAAACTGCAATATCTTTGTTTAACATGATCTCCAACAGTACCCTGCATTAGTTCTGCTCTCCTTTGATATAGTGAAAGAAATATTCTATTTTAAGAGCCTTGTGAAAACCTACTGTAATCTTGAGAGTTCACTAGTAGAAAGCATTGATCATACAGGCAAATAGCAACATAACAAAAGATACTTTATAAGACGTTCAAGCATATGCAGATGAAAAAAAGAAACATCGTTTACATTTTGCAGTAAGTTGGTATCCTGGAAATAGCACCTGTATTACAAATAGTATTATAAACACCATAAACACAGGAGGAAAAGAGCATGCCACATCCACATTCACATCAGAGGTGGCTTTTAGTTCCTTGATTCACCATTAAGGTAAAGAAAAGTTGGCTAGAATACACAGAACTTACTATGCATTCATATGCTAAACAACAGTCATTATTCCACAGATTCTATCTATTGTGATTGCTCCAAAAGTTTTGTTTTGGAATATGAATGTTTTACATCTGTTCCTTAATCTTAAATGTTTGGTTTCACTTTTTCTTCCTCTAAACTTCTTCCAGGTCTAGAATAGATTCCTTACCGGCAGAATGTATCTCATTTAATAGACACTTCCATCTCAGACTGCGTATTCCCCCTCCTACCTTTATCAAAATTCTCTTCCACAGCTCACCCTCTTTATCTGATTCCATAAATATTGTCTTATGTTTTCCAAGGATAAGAAAAGGGAGTATCACCTACTCGATTTTGTTCAAATCTTTTTTAAAAATGTTAAAACTCAAACAGATTCTATTGTAAAAGCTAGTTGTGCTGTTACATTCTGTTGATTGCAAAACAAACAAAACCACCCAACACTCAAAGCTTTTTACTGAAGGTGAGTTTATTAAGCAATGTAAGGAAAGCATGGCAGGTATAATTTGTCCTGACTTTAAAAAATGGATTTTTCTAAAATCTTCTATTCACAGGTAAATAGAGGGAGGAATTCTGAAAATCTATCAAAAGATATTAAGAGAGTAAACCTGATGAATGTACTGATGCTACACATATGGCTCAACTTGCCATTTTCTTTAGAGATATTGATAACAAATATATTACTGAAGAAATAGCTTCTTTGGTGCAAACACACAACTAAATCTCTTAAATTGAAGTAAACAAATCCACTGAATTAATTTTCTGTAACTTTTGTCAACATGTTTAGTATAGTTCCTGATGGCATCCTAGTGATGACTGGTAAAAAAGAAGGACTTATAAAACTAATAGAAGGCAATGCAATGGCTACCAGTGACTCATGTTTGATGAAATATCATGGCATCATATACAAAGAAAATTTATGTGCAAAGCCTTAAAAATTTATAATGTGATGCAAATTATTAGCAAAGCTGTGAAATTCATAAAGTTCAAGGGATTGACTGAATCACTGCCAATTCTAGGAGTGCCTTAAAAGTCTGGATGCTAATTATGCGGGCATCCTTTAATTTTCTGAAGAGAGGTGGCTAAGTCAGGGTAAAATGGTAAAAAGATTTTATAATTTGCAAATTGAAATCAAGTATTTTATGGAACCAAAGGGAAAATTTGTGCCAGAATGTGAAGATTAAAAATGGCTCACAGAGTTAGCATTTTTTGTGGATTTGACCATTACTTTAAATGAGCTAAACGTGTTCAAAGCGGAAATCAACTTACCTGTTCTATGTTTCAAAACAGAACAGCATTTGGAATGAAACTTAAATTATGGCAAGCTCAAGTGATGGCAAATAATGTTTTGTATTTTGATGTGTTGACTAAACAGTCCTGTGAACAGTGAAAAATATGCAGCCACTCTTTCTGTTTTTATAAAAGGGTTTGAGAATATATTTCATTCTTTCTAAAAACATCATACGCTTTATAAATGTTTGTGTCTCCTGGGTATATTAAGTATGACTATCACTTGCCCAAACAGTAAACAGTTATCTAGTCACTGTTGTGTTGCTTGACTAACCCAT